CCGGCTAGGGCCCGCGCCGACTACGACTACCTCATCAAGCTCCTCCTCATCGGCGACAGCGGTGATTCTCCCTGCTCCTCCTGCTAGATCTTTCTCCCGGCCTGCCGCGGGCTTCTGTACACGAGTGCGCAATGGTTAGCAAGGGAATGATAGTTGTGTATAGATATAGACTGGCTTGCTGCGTCTGTTCTTCGGTTCCAACTGGAAGTCATCTGGCTTGGTTGCTTGTAAGTTATACTAGATGGATGGACTGCTCGTTTTAGTAGCTTTGATTTGCTCCGGCGGATTGATAAAAGCCTAAGCGTAACCATCACTGCTGTGGTGGCAGTGCCACCGATGCGAGGAAGTCACCAGTATGCTCTTCCTTAGTTTCTTGGTGAACTGCCGAGGAAGGGATTTCAGCGTCCGGAGCTGCCACCGAACGCTCTGGAAAGTCAGAAACTGTAGGCGATATAATCGAAGCTGTAGGTGGAGAACTTTTCTCGGTCGCGAGCTCCGGGGTGAAAGCCTAGGCCTGACCCGAGCTGGTTATGCCTGGCAATGGCGATGTTTTTTTTATGCCGTTACCTTGCTGAAGGCATTGCTCGGATTGATTCTTCAGGCTAAAAACCTAGATTCTGGCCTTGGTGGTTGGATCCCTTCTTGAAGGCGTTGTTGTTGAAGAACCTTGTCGACTGTGTGGTGTCATGAGCTGGTTTGCGCGGATATGGTCATTGATGTAGTTTGCCGATCATGGATCTGATCGCTTTGGGTTTTTCTTTATACCTTGCCAATGCATAGTTTTTGTCTTACATGACTTTGCTATTTGCCGGCGTGTTTTTTGAGTGTGTCCGTTGGTGTTGGCTGTGTGCATCCTAGCTTTGCAGAGGCTGGGTGTGTGCTCTTTCGGTTTGTATCCTCTTGATGCTCCCTTTTGAGCCAATAAAATCTACCCTTTGTCGAAAAAGGTGGAGAACTTTTACAATCAACAGAGGAATGACTCTTGACTACTACCTACTGGATGCCGTTTATTTTGTGTTATTTTCATTTTGGTTTGATAGATGCTTGGTTTGTTGTCTTCAGAACACCGCTGCTAGGTTGAAAGTTCGTGGTGTTTGTGAAACGGTATCCTGTGATATCTGTTGCCCACTGATGCGTTTCTTTGCATGATTGAAGGAACCTTGTAGAAGGGGTGCTTTTTTACTTATGCAAGTATAGTTGTTTCATGCTTTACCAATGGCAGCATCTAGTTGTTTTGATGGTCCTCATGATATACTCGGCTAGCTTGCTGTCAGACTGTCTAAGCATGTGTACAGGACACCAATTCACTTTGTACGGAAGTGTGTGTGACTGAAAATGGGAAGAGTGCTGAAAGTTTATAAGAAAATACAATGGTCCTGTAAGAACCTTTAATCAATGCAATTTAGTGTAGAGTGTAGACACATTGACCAGTCAAAGCTGTCTTGTGGATGTACTCCTTTCTGGATGTATTCTGTGTGTATGAGACTCGCATGGTGGCTAGCGAGAAAACTAATCAATTGTGAGCTATGATGACATGCAATCAGCATTGTTACTCGTCATAAAATAATTACATACTCGAGTATAATGTGCTTTTAGATTAAAAAAGACGTTTAATTTTGGTGTGATGTGTCATTGTACTCTATTTGAGTTCCTAGTGTGGCCCAGTTCTTTTGGCCTATTC